TTTTAGTTGAGGATGATGTACATTGATTACACTTTTATTTCATTTCACATAATAAAAAGTGTACATTAATAAAAAGATATACACTTCTATTCTAATTTTATCTTGCACCCGGCACCATGTATACATTCAATATTATTTTCTCTTTTTTAAAAAATAGTAATAACTTTTTTATTTTTGATCCGATTTTTCTAAAATTTATATCAACATTTTTTATTTTTCATTATCTTTCAAACGAGATCAATATTGCCTATGTAATTTTAACATATTAACATTTGCGTGTAAAATATGTAACTTTAAGTGTTAAAACATGTAACTCACGTTCAGTCAGGTCAAATGCAACTCGTGTGTATAAATATGTATCTCTACGTGTAACAATATGTAACTTTACGTAAAAAAATATGTAACTCGCGTTCAGACAAGTCACATGCAACTCGTGTGTATAAATATGTAACTCGCGTGTATAAATATGTAACTTTACGTGTAAAAATATGTAACTTTACGTGTAAATATATGTAAGTCGCGTTCAGACATGTCAAATGCAACTCGTGTGTATATATATGTAACTCGCTTATAAAAAGATGTAACTTGCTTATAAAAAGATGTAACTCGCTTATAAAAAGATGTAACTTGCTTATAAAAAGATGTAACTCGCTCATAAAAAGATGTAACTCAATGTATTATCAAATGTAACTGAGGCCACTGATCCACTCCCAAACAGTTTCGATCTTCTATTTCACAAACCTATCATCTCCCAAACAGATTCAATTTTTCTTATAATCCAATACTCATTAATATAATAGTTCGATAATTTCTTAAAATTACATACACAATATTGGTCTCATTTGAAAGATCATGAAAAATAAAAAATGTTGATATAAATTTTATAAAAATCGGATCAAAAATAAAAAAGTTATTATCATTTTTAACAACCAAAGCAAAAAAAAAAAAGCAGATGCTGCGTCGTTTTTGCAACCGGGCGCACCATCCTCTTGGTGCGCCGGTTGCACCGTATAATTTGCCGTGTTGAAAATAAAAAGTGTCATTAATTATACACCCATGACAAATAAAAGTGAACTGATTGTTTTTACTTGAATTGTTTTCAGTCCAAGATCAAATCAGATTAGACCATATCATATCTGATTAAACCAGACTAGATCAGACCAGATTAGACTAGATCAGACCAGATTAGACTAGATCAGACCATACCACACTTGGATACATATAATAAAATATACAAATACCAGACATCTACCAGATCAGATCAGTTTAAATCAAACTAGACAAGATCAGATCAGATCAAACTAGACGTCTACCGTTACATTCACATATGCACTTTTATATCACCTTTCATGAAAAAGACGCCGCATATGTTATCCAATTTTATGTGTGGTTAGGACTATGGTTGGACTCGGGTCGGGCCACCCGGCCCGGCCCGCTACTGTGCGGGACCGGAACCGGCACGGTTCTCGGGTCCGGGTCGGGCCTAGGCCCGGGGGGTAGGGCGGGTCCGGGCTCGGGTCTCAAATTTGGTGAACCGGCCCGGCCGGGTCGGGGCGGGGCCCGGGCCAAATTGGTTTTTTTTTCATTTTTTTTTCATTTTTGGGGTTCACCCGGGTTGGGCTTGATGGGTAGGATGGGTTTGGGGGGGTTTGGGAGGGTGGGGGGTGAGGGGGGGTTAGGAAAGCAAAAAAAAATCCAAATCGGAGGCCCCGCCCGGCCCGGATCCGGCCCGGACCCGGTGGCTACCCGGGCCGGTCCCGGGTCCACCATTCTTGAACCGCTTGCCCGCCCGGGCCCAGGCGTAGGCCCGACCCGGACCCGGCCCGGACCCGAGTCCACCCCTAGTTAGGACACTTGAAATCACGAGTATTTTACAAAAAATAGTATAGTACTAAAATAAAGCTTATTTAGCTAAATATGACAATTAGTTACTACAATGTAATGTTATATTATCTCCGTCCCAATGGACTTTGCACTTCTTAAGTTAGGTGAGAAATAAGAATAGTAAAAATTGTGTGGTTCAAGTTTGTGCAGAGGAGAGAGAAATGAGTAGAACCACAAAATAGTTAGGAAAGTGGCAAAATTTTTTGAGACAACCAAAAAAGGAAAGATGACAAAGTCTAATGTGACGGAGGGAGCAGTAACTTAAATTTAAAAATCGAACATGATTTATTGTGATTTCATTGTTAGTGTAGTCACTAATCAAAGTTTTATAAACATCTTTATTTTAGTTTTTATGTAATTATTTCTAAAATCATTATATCAAAAGCTCTTAATTGAACCAAAGGACTTGTCACAATTGTATGTATACATACACAATTTGTGGACAATTTGACTATACACACGAGCGTACAAAAAGTGTACAAATTTGATACTCCCTACGTCCCATCGGAATTTGTGATCTTTCTTTTTTTTTGTCCCAAAAAACTTTGACACTTTCCCAATAAAGTAACTATTTTGTGGTTCTACTCATTTCTCTCTTCTCTGCACAAACTTCAACCACACAATTTTTACTATTCTTATTTCTCACCTAACTTAAGAAGTGCAAAATCCATTCTTATTTCTCACCTAACTTAAGAATTGCAAAATCCATTGGGATGGAGGTAATATATTGATAGATTTTTTGGTACAATATAACTCATCAATCCACTGCGGCATTAAAGTCCCGCAGTGCCGAAACATGAGCAAAGTACAGCTGTTTGAAGCATGCAACTCCAATTCATAAATGGAATTGAATAAGTGACCCATGCATCTGTTTGTTTGTTAGCTGCAAATGAACATGAAACCTGGAATGACTATTTTCGGGCACCGTAAAACAAACATATGTTCGCAACAACCTTAACCTCTTCCTAATTCTGGCAACGTCGTAACAGCCTCCTCATCCCATTCTCCACAATTAAGATACAGTTGTACAACATGGTACCTATCTACCTCATCAATTCATCGGATTAAATGCATAGTATCCGCCTCCTACGTCAGGGGCGGAGACAGGGGCCTGCCGGCCTCGCGATGGTCACGGCCTCTGCAAGAAAAAAATTGTGATGTATTTATATATGAGTTTTTAACAAGAATATTACTAAAATAAATCATATTTACATAAATATGACTATTCATTACTACAATGTTGTGTTGTGGTAATTTAAGCTCAAAACTTAAACATGAATTACTATGATTTCATTACTACTCTAGTCATTAGTCATATTTTTGTAAATAATTTTTATTTTGATCATATTTATGTAATTATTTCTTTATTTATATATGTATAAATATTTATAAGTAGTAAAAAATATAGTAAAAATCTAAATTTTGAGTTTTTGATCCCTGCTATATACTCCCTCCGGTTCTTATTAAAGTTCTCACTTTCCTTTTTGGGATGTCCCTTATTTAAGTTCACACTTCCATTTTAGGAAACAAAACAGTGCAAAACAGTGCCAAACAGTGTCAAACAGTGCCAAACAGTGTCAAACAGTGCACTCCACAGTAAAGTCAAATTCATTTTCTTAATATGTGTGAAGTCAAACTGAGAACTTTAATAAGAACCGGAGGGAGTACATTCCTTAAGCCCCGACCCTGTAACCTGTGCTCTGTCCTACGTATTTCAATTGTTGAATGAATCAAATCCACGCCATAATTAAGTTTAATTGTCTCCACCGATGGAACCATTTCAGAATTTAGTCGAAGTTGTGTGATTTGACAGTGCATTTCACATGCGCTATTAAAACAGGACTTGCAATTAAGTAATTAACTTAATAATAATTTACGTAATGATAAAAAACTGTTTGACAACTCTAAAGACAGTTGTACATACGAAAATTGTTATGATTGTACTTGAAATGGTCAAATTTTCTCAAATTTGTAGCATCTGCATATTTGTGATGTTTAATTTTATTAGGTTTAGTGGTATTAGGGCTTGTAAGGCCGAATCAATCTTCAAAAATCAAAACTTAGGCATGGTGAGCTAATTAAACGATTTGTCCGGTTCAAAGCGGTCTTTTCCAATATCTGATTGCTTCTACTTTAAAAAGTGATTTTTAAAGTAATTTTGGGAAAAGTGTTTAATACGTAGTAGTAAAAGTTGATAATGTTTGAGAAAAGGGTGATTATGAAAAAGTAAAAGGTGATTGTGTTTGATAGAATAAGTGTTTTTTGTGTAATATAAAAAGTGAAAAGGCAGCTTAAAGCACCTCTCAACCTACTTCCAACTTTTAGTTTTTAAGTGATTAGTTTAAGTAGAAGCTGCTATTTTAAAACACTTATTTTAATCCTTAGCGAACACTACCGATGTCTAAAAGAAAGTTGAGAATTGATTTCTTTTTAACATACGTGATTTTCCTCAAAAGGGACAAAAACTACGGAGTATGTGAAAAGATTAAAATAACATTCTTTAGTAAATTTAGTACCAATTTGGTGATCCTGTTTTTCGACTTATTAGTCAACTTTTTCATCAATCACATAACTTTTGATTTCGTGCGGTGAGTTAATTGTGTAATAATCAAAATGAGTAATGTTGAAGTTACTTTCTGGTTGAATTGACTGAAGAGACTGCAGAGGATTAATTTGACTATTTTTCGTATGATTTTTTTTAATAAAATATAATGTAAATATAATTTTTTTCATTAATAAACAGAATCGATCAAACAAGCCATTTCAATCGGAACTTCATACACTTATGTAAAATTTGCCGCACGATTCAATCAATTTTAGTGTTATCAAACAAGCTCTTAGTCAATTATGTTAACAAGTAACTCGTACCTTATTTATTTTTTAATGTTTGATGAAAAAATGACTAATAAGATTGCTAATCGAAAAACAGGTTACCAAACCGCCTCCATTGTTACACCTCTCTTGCTTGAATCATCAATTGTCTTATAGCTTGATCAGGTCCACTGAACGGGAAATTAGCCCGTAGCTGATCATCTAATTGTAGATTTAGAACATGCTTAGTAGATTTAAGCTAATGTCTGAAAATAATTTATTAACTAATCATGTCAAACATTCACCCAATATCCCAAATACCAATTACAGTGTACGTGAAATTTAAACTACCAAGTAACAAGTTCAATAGCTTTTGTAGGAGCTTCTAATGGTACACTCTCTTGAGATAATTCAGTGTAATTACTATAATTACGATATTGGAATACATTCTCAATACAGGAGAGATGGGACGTAGGCTAGCTAGTTAAAAAATAATTTATGCACTTTACCTCATTTTCATTTGTACATTTACTATAGACAAAACAAACTTAAAAAATAAAACTAATTGATATAGCCTGAAAGCCAGTAGGCAATTTTAGCAGAATATGAATGTGATCACTCCTTGAGATCAGGTATTGCCATTAGTGGAAGACGATGATGAGTAGAGAATTGTTGAAGCGGTGAAGCTTCGATTTCCATCATTGCCCTTGTTATTCAAGCTGTGTTCTTTCTGTGCCGAAGAAGACGTGGCTTTCGAGTTCTTTGTGCATTCTTGGTTCTCTGAGGAGCCGCTCTTGAGGAGGCTGACATCCACCTTGGTGTATTCTTCCCTCTCACGCTTGATTTCAGACAGCATTGCTGCCACATCTTTCATTGTAGGCCTTTCGGAAGGGACTGGATTTACACACAACAAGGCTATTCCTAATGCCTGTGTCATTTCCTCCATATCTTGATTTGGGCCTGCACACAAGCTCGGCTCGAGAACATCTACGCCACCCCTTTCCTTTCGTACCCAATCAACAATGTGGACCCCATCTGGTATCGTTGGATCAATTGGCTGCTTCCCCGTCAAAACTTCCAACATCACCACTCCATAGCTGTAGACATCGCTTTTGTTTGAGATCTTCAGGGCGTAGCCATATTCTACATAAGAAGCAATTAAGAAAATAATTACAAGAAGTTACTGCAAATAGAAAATTACATAGGTATGTACACAAATAGGACTCGTGCAGTCTTACTATATGGAATAAAACTAAGACAAGATTTTGTCAATAGGAAACATAATATCATTGTTTTTTTAATAAGACTCATTCCTTCTTAAAAGAAGAACATTTAACTACTTTTTAGACTCGATAATAATTATTTTTATGTTTTAATAAAATTTGATCCTATTTATGGATTTCCTCAATAATTAATCGCCTCATCTTAGCTCATGGTTATATTTTTGCTAATATAATCACAAAGTTAACTTATTCAAAAATGAAACAATTTGGGATTTGGTTGAGATTACTAACTAGGTCATAAGCACTTAGTCTCAACTCTCAGACCACATTAAATATTGAATTCAATCGATTAACTAGTTCAACTCAATTCGAAAGAGGTAAATGCTTACCGGGAGCAATGTATCCATATGAACCTGCCATCGTATTGGAAGATCGACTGAAATCTCCATCAACCAGCTTGGCGAGGCCAAAGTCTGCTATGTAAGGCTCAAACTTAAGACCAATAAGAATGTTGTTGGCCTTGATATCTCTGTGGACAATAGGCGGGACACAATCATGGTGGAGGTAGGCAATCCCTTGTGCTGCCCCTAACAAGATTTGATACCTCGTTTCCCACTCGAGAGGATTCCCATTCCTCTCATGTAGAAGACTACCTAAGCTCCCATTTGGCTTGTAATCGAACATAAGCAGTCTCATCTTCCGATTCCAGCAACAACCCAAGAATCTAACAATGTTCTTATGACGTACAGAACCTAGTGCTCTCACCTCTGTCGAGAACGAGTCATGAATGAACCCGGTTTTCGCAGATATAGGCCATAGCTTCTTTACTGCCACAACCTCACCATTATCCATATTGGCACGGTAAACAATTCCAGAACAACCCTTGCCAATGATATTTGAATCCACTAAGCATTTCAGAACCTCTTCCACTGAAAAGTTGAGCTTCTGGAAGGGAGTGAACTGCCATGTCCACGACTCACCTATCTCACAATCATCATCACCTCCTCTCATAGCCTTTCTTGTTCGCAATATAATAACAATGCCGGTGAAAACCATTACGACAGTCATCGTGATGAGCAATGCAATAGCCAGTCTAAGTTGTTTTGTTGACTTCCTTGCCGCATTTCCAAGGACATTGCCATGAAAGCACGAGTCTTTGCCAACAGAAATGCATAGTCCATGATTTCCAGCAAGAGCTGATGGAGATAATTTCCGAAAGAGATTGTTGTCAGGAAGATCACCAGTGAAGTTGTTGAAAGAAACATCCAAGGACAAGAGGTTTTCGAGCTTGGCCAATGGACTTAAGCTCCCGCCAAACTTGTTGTGTGATAGGTCAAGTGCAAAAAGTTTAGTGAGGGAAGAGATTTCATTGGGAATCTGTCCAGTTAATCCATTCCAGCTGAGATTGAGTGTGATTGCAAGTGACTCAAGCTTCCCAATCTCGACTGGGATACTACCCGAGAGCTCATTTCTGCTTAGATCAAGTTTTTGAAGTTTTAAACAGTGACCAAGCGAGGGGGGTATGGGTCCAGATAACAAATTCTTGTTGAGGATGAGATTGTTCAACGAAATCAAATGCCCAACACTTTCCGGTATGGGGCCCTTGATACGATTGTTTGAAAGATCCAAAATTTGAAGCCCGGAGAGTGATGAAAGAGAATCAGGCAGTCGACCTTCCAATGCATTGTTGCTCAGATCAACCATTTCTAACTGCACACAACTTCCAATCTCATCAGGCACAGGGCCCGAAAGCCGATTTCCTGTAAAATCAAGAAAGGTCAAGCTTTTCAATCCTCCAATCCGTTTTGGAATGATACCAGTGATTCGGTTGTTCCCAAGCCTCAACCTCACTAGGGAGCTACAGTTACCAATCTCTTGAGGTAATGTGCCTGAAATATCATTAGTCGACAACAGCAGCTTTGAGAGATTCTTTAGTTGGAACAAGCCTGGAGGTATAGTACCAGTGAGTGAGTTATCGGTCAGGTCTAGGGCCTCAAGGTGAGTACAACTAGCCAAGCTTGAGGGCACACTACCCTCAAGCTGATTCTGCCAAGCATAGAACACTTGAAGGCTTGACAAATTCCCCAACTCAGGTGGAATCAGTCCTGAGATCTGGTTTCCATCAAGCAGCAATTGTTGTAAGCTTATTGCATTTGACAGAACAGAAGGGATTGATCCAGTAATAGTGTTATTACTAAGCATGAGTACTTGAAGTTCAAGAAGCCCACCAAAAGACAACGGTATGGATCCAGATAAATGGTTCCAGGACAGGTCAATCATAGTCAATTTAGTACAATTCCCAATTTGTTCTGGAATACTCCCAACTAAGTAGTTTTGCCAGAGAAGCAACTGTTCTAGCTTGTACAGATTCCCAATCTCAGGCGGGATTGAGCCAGAAAGACTGTTTTGGTACAAATACAAGTTCACAAGCTCAGAACAGTTACCTAAACTAGAAGGGATTTCACCAGAAAGCATTGTGGTGTAAATAGACAATGTTTGGAGTTTCTGAAGCTTACTCAATGAAGCAGGCAGTGAACCTGAGATACTTGTCTCGGCAAGGCCCAAAACAGTCAAATTCCCACAGTTGGCTATCTCTTCTGGAATTTCTCCAACGATATCATGATTCCCACCTACTCTGAGAACTTCAAGACTCTGCAAGACGCCTAATTCTTTTGGCAGATTTCCAGACAGCCGATTATCTACAAGGACAAGGCTTTTCAGGGCGGAACAAGCGCTAAGCTCAACAGGGATTTTCCCAGTGAGCAGATTAGATGTCAAGATCAAATCTTGAAGATTCCACAGCCTTCCAATGGTTGAAGGGATGGGACCCACAAGGCTATTCGAGCTCAAATCAATGAGTGTGAGCTTGGAACAGTCACCGATCTCGGCCGGGATAGTCCCTGTGATGTTTGCCTCAGAAATCACAAGCTTCTCCAGGTGTGTGAATGCAGAGAGGTTTGCAGGGAAGGGGAGCTCAAGCTTGACAGATTGAATGTTAATCTCAGAGACAAGTTCTTGAGAGGTGCACGTAATGAAGTCCCACTTGCACGGATTGGTGTCCAGGGGGGTCCAAGAAGAGAAAAGGGGCGGTGGCGGTGAGGCCGAGGAGTGCAGCCATGAGTAGAGGGCCGTAGCCTCGTGGTTGGGTGCGGCGGCGGCGGGTGTCCAGAAAGTGGCGGCGGAAAGCAGAGTGAGGATGAAGAGAAGAAGTGACGGTGGACTAGAAAAGTGAGAAGAAGTAATAGAAGCTGGAGATGGCTTTCTTGGGATAGAGAAGATACACATTTTGACTCAAATTTCAAACCTTTCCTAATGTGCATATCAAGAACGCTTTTCTTCGGTTTTATTGTTTTTTTTCCTCAATCTCTGCGTCATGTTTTTCTCTCTCTTATTATCTGCTAGCCTTGGGTTTTTTGTTTTTATGGCAAAGAAAATGATCACCGTCGGTCCGTCCATTCGTCATACTCATCAATTCGTCATCAAAACCCCAAAAAAAAAGTTTTTTTTTTTTTGTAAAAAAAGGTTTACTACTTTACTCCCAAAAGAATGACTACTACAAGACAAAATAACAATGAATACCATCGTGCACCAATTTAACACTATTTGATTGAGATGATTCGCAATCAATGAAAAACTATTTTAGACTTAAGGTTGTCACTCTTATTATTTTAATTTTTGGGGGAGGATAGTTTTTATGTCAAATTAAAAGGTGGAACATAACAATCAGAAGACCAAGTCAAACGAGCACACATGAGACATCAAAATGATCTTTTTTTAAAGCATACTCACACGTCATAAATCGGTGGGCGCAGTTGAACCGGTAGCCAGACTTGTTCTCATTAGAATCGCTATATATATATATAGGGGAGTTCAAATACAAAGAGGTCTTCCCATGCAAAGTGAGAATTAATCTCGTGCATTCATTTTCAGATCTAGTGGCTCAAAATGAGCCAAAATGCACTAAATTTGATCAAAATCGCGGTGGGGAAAAAGTGAAACAGAAACATGAAATAGTGCAACGCAGTGAGGAAAAAATGCAATCGTTCGCACTTTGCACGGGAGCACATCTTTTTATTTGAACTCTTCCCTATATATATATAGGGGTGAGTTCTAATACAAAGAGGTCTTCCCATGAAAAGTGAGATCAAAACTCACGATCAACCAAAATGTGTAATACTCCGTACCTAATAGCAAAAGTGCATATGCAATATGTAATAGTGCACATTCATCTTCTAAAAAACATCAAGAACGATCTTTATAAATGTTATGTTTTTCCCGAAAAGTCATGCACTTTATTGTTAGTCTAATGCACTTTTCCTCCGTAGTGATGCACATTTGTCACATTAATTTTCAAAAAGGTTTTTAATAATTACACTTTTGACACCGAATTTTTCCAATAAAAATTGATCTGATCCACTCGTTTTCTCATTTTAACGGCTAAGATTACTTCTCATTTTTCATATAAGTAGTACTTTGTATTTGAACCTCCCCCCCCCCTCTCTTTATATATATATATATATATATATATATATATATATATATATATATATATATATATATATATATATAGGGTCGGATTCTAATGAGAAGACATTGCATCTTAACGTGAGAAGTGAGAAGTTACACATTTACCCCGTTGTGGTGCACTTTTTTGCTAATCTGATGCACTTTTTGCGATAGAAGAAAAGTTCCGATTTAGGTTCAAATAAGAATGCTATCTTAGGAGAGAAATGAGAATGATTATAAGCCATTAGATTAGAACATTTTATATGATATTCACGTGTCAAGACTTTGGTCATACTTGTCATTGCATGTTTTCTTTCCATTCTTGTTTTATTACTTTCCATCCTCATTTTACGTCATTTGGTTTCCGGCACTCAAAACTAAACATTAAATTGCTTTCCTTTTTATTTATAATTATTTGAATCATTAGCTAGCATCATTGATGGAGTATATGGGTCTAGGCCCCAGGACCCACATACTCAGAAGAACAGAAGGTACCACGATCACCTGGTGGGACCCTCATCGGCCATGCCCTCATCGGCCAGAAAAAGGTCTACTCAGAATATGATCCAGAAGTCAGGAGAACCGGGTGACCTCGTCGGCCATGCCCTCATCGGCCATGCTCTCATCGGCCATGCCCTCATCGGCCAGAAAAAGGTCTACTCAGAATATGATCCAGAAGCCCGGAGAACCGGGTGCCCTCATCGGCCATGCTCTCATCGACCATGCCCTCATCGGCCAGAAAGAAGGCTACCCAGAATATGATCCAGAAGTCAGGAGAACCGGGTGACCTCGTCGGTCATGCCCTCATCGGCCATGCCCTCATCGGCCATGCCCTCGTCATCCATAGATAGCCTTTAGAACAGGATTTTATACTTATCATTTCTATACACTTTGTATCCGGCCCATTAGTGGCCCTGTTGTAAATGGGCCTCCCAAGCCCAAGACTTGGGAGCCCAGCCCTAATTTTCTCTATAAATACTCCCCTTGGGAGTAGTTGTAAGGGTTCAGAATTCATTAATACAAAGCAAATATACTACTTCTCTCTCTACCTCTCACTTCTCTCTAGACTTATATAGTCCATCATTTGGTGCACTCGTTGAGAGCTAGAACAATCAAGTTAGTCTCCTTCGTCGCTACCAAGCACAGCTAACTGATCATGGGAAGAACTAAGTCAAACCGTAACCTCCTCGGCAAAGCCATCCCTGAGGCCCAAGAGCATCAGGAACACGAGGAGTCGAGGAGGACGCAACAGCCGACAAGGCCGCCGAGGGAGACGTCTTCCAGGAAGCCATCGGCCTCACCACTGACCTCCGCACCAAACTTAACGGTGTCGCCCCAGACGCCCGCATCAGCTTGGACAAGAAGCGCGCAGAAAAGGGTGACAACGTCTCTGGGCAACCGGCTTCTCCTGCCGTTGACCCTCAGCTCCAAGCCGCTCTCTCGGCCATCATCGCCAGCCTGGCCCAGAACCCCACCGTCCTCAGCGCACTCATGCCAAGGACTGGGGAGAACACTACACCACCTCCTCAGCCCCAACCGTTGGCCATCAAGCTGGGCAACGATGAAGGGGTGGTGCCCCAGGACACGTCGTCATCCCACTCCCACCCTGCTTCCCCACTTCGAGCTGGACCGGCCCCAGCGCGTGGAAAAGCCTCAGCCTTTAATAGGCTAGGTGACACGCGTCGTCAGCCTGCTTCGGAGGCTCACGGTGAACGTGAGCCTGGCTCACCAAGGGAAAGCTTGGGGTCCGTATCCCGGACAGCGGATCGGCCCCGCCTGGACAAAGGCAAAGGAAAATTGCACGAGGACAATGCGCGTCATCGAATCAACACGACTCAAGAAGCTCGCGTGCGCAACCAGCAAGGCGCCACTACGGCCGCCAAGGACCCTCGTGACGAGGTCATCGCCCAGCTGGAAAGGAGACTGGACCAGATGGAGGCTAGACAATCGGCCACCATTCCTACGGCCAACTCATCCGAGGGTCCAGGTTACCACGCGCTCATGCTTAAGGTCAGCGCCCTGGAGAGGGAGCTGACCGACAGACGTGGTGACACCATCATCCAAATCAGAACAAAAACTCCCTTCACCACGAGGGTGCTCTCGGCCCCAATACCCGAGAAGTACCGAGGGAACGCCATCAAGCCCTATGATGGCCGCTCTGACCCTCAGGAGCACTTCAGCCGCTATCAAAACAACATGCTGATGGTGAACGCATCAGATGAATACCTCTGCCGTTGGTTCCTTTCCACTCTTGAAGGGCCAGCGTACGAGTGGTTCAACGCGCTCCCCGAAGGAAGCATAGACTCGTGGCAGGATCGTGCCCAACGCTTCCTCACCCACTTCGCCGGAAGGAAGCGCGTGAGAAAACATTTCTCCCACCTTCTCTCCATCAAGCAGCAACACGATGAATCACTTCGGTCTTTCATCGATCGATGGACGAAGGAGACAGACGAGGTCGAAGGTGCCGATGAGCGCACCCTCCTCGTCCTCTTCCAAGGCGTTCTCCGCAGCAGCCCCTATGCGAGGAGCCTCATCACTGACCCGCCGAGGTCATACACCAAGGCACTCCAACGAGGGAGCTTGTACGCTGACGCCGATGAGCTCCACTCCCGCAAGAAGGATGTAGTCCAACCATCAAAGAGATCAGACGAGGCGTCGGCTCCAAACGCATCCTCGGCCGGGGGCCATGCCCGCCGAAACCGGAAGGAGCGCCCATGGCAGCCGAGGACGGACGTCCCAAGGACTACGCTCACGCACTCGGTGGATACCATCTTCGACTATGCGGAGGAGCAAGGTCTCATCCCTAAAGATCCCCGGTCGGCCACAGAAGTCTACGCCGTCCACCAGGGTGGCACTTATTGTCGTTACCATAAGAACACCTCCCACAATACAGACGACTGCGTCGCGCTGAAGAAAGCCATTGAGCGCTTGATTCAACGGGGTGAACTCCACCAATTTGTCAAAGTTACCCCAAGGAACTCCACCGGCAATCAGGAAGGGGACACCTCAACGAAGAAGCATGAAATTGGGAAGCTCAGCGATGACGAGGACTTCGAGGAGCCCCAACTGAAGAAGCGTCACATCCGCTGACTACGTCCTTCCTCGAAGGGACGCACGACCGACGGCTGGACCTCCATGGTGAAGTTCTACCATCAAGCTGACAGACGGCTCATCCCTCAAAATACGAAGGGCCCTACATCTCGGTGAAGTTCTACCAGCAAACCGAAGAGGGTGCAGACGGTAGAGCCCCCACCCTCGGCCTCGAGCCACTGACCCTAATAAAAGCCGTTGCCATAAACAACGCACCTATTGTGTTCTGCTTATTTCTTGTAAAGTTTAAGTAAAGGATGCCACACAACAAAGCATGTCGCTTCGGCCCCTTCGAGCGAAACGCTCAGGTATGGCCGACGACGCCACACAAAACAGCACATCGTCCCGGCCCCTTCGAGCGAAACGCTCAGGCATGGCCGACGATGTCCCAGGACGAGGGGCCCGCAAACGGCCCACGTCTTGAAATGGGAAGCTCACCGCGTCATCTTCGCACTAAATCGCATTACGAAAGGCCTGAAAGAATGGCCGAGGTGACAAAATCCCCACACTTGGGGTTGGGAAACGGCAGTCGTCGGTAACCGACCAAAAGCCTAGCCCGCGCCATAAATAGACGACGGGACCCCCCAAGGTCTAGGGACGCGCCAGCGCCAGAGGCCGGACAGCTGCCCTCCTGGACTCCCTATCGGCCGAGGGAATAGCAACCCCCTCGGTCGAGCCTGAAAGAAGGACCCCCACTCCTCGCTCACAGCAGTAGAGGAAGAAATAAAAGAGGGACAGCCGAGGACCGTGCACTCGCCGGCCTCGAGCGAAATCCCCACAAATTAAAAGAGGGACAACCGAGGACCGTGCACTCGCTGGCCTCGAGC